CCCCCCCTGAGGCATTAATTGATTTACATTAATTTATCGCTCCAAAAAAGATGACTTGGATATAATTGAATACGTCATGAACTGAAAAGCAAGATGTTTTGAAGATCGACAGTACAAATAACCATCGCGTCAGCGGTTAAACGTCGGCACATGTTTCATGCCAAATGGAACTAATCGAACATTGCCCCTTCAGAGTCTTTAGAGGGGAACTTTTGGTTTATTTTGGTTACAAATACATTTCAAATCCAAGACAACTCCCTCACTTCCCCCCCTCCTAAAAAATGTACTTTGCCGCTGTACAGGAGAGTTATCTCCAGATGCAATATTGTTTACGTACATACATACACTAGCTCGTACTTTATTTGATACCGCAGGTTAAAACTTAAGGCAGCCAGAAAAGCTGATGTAGACCTGCTATTACACGTATCAAAACCCAAAATATCAGCATTATAGTACAGGTTTATAGTTACAACATAAAATAGATACATAGATAAATTAAATTACAAGAATTTCATGGATAAAACGGAGATAAAAGTAAAGTTTAAACAGAAAAAAACTAAGAAACGAAAAATAGATCATAAAATTCAGTAATATATAAGATTTTGGAGATCCTTGTTGTCATTCGTGCGTACTTCTGTTTAATGGTGATAATAATGAAAACATGATAATGGTGAACAACACGCAGGGCGTGCAAGAGGTTTATTCCGATTTAAAAGCATCTGGAAAGAAGGAACATTAAGTAGAGCCTTACAAGTGATGTTTAGGTTGATCCAACAAGTTCGTTTCGTTGCGATGTACAGCAAAATACGCCTTTAGAATTTATGACGCATCTACAACCTCAAACCGGTAATGGAAAGATATGCTGCAGAAAGTTTAGTTGGCTAGTTAGGATTTTGGGATCAAAGAACCAAGACAAATGGGAAATTAAGCCTAATTTAATTTTATTAACAATTCAACCAGTAGGTCTGAGAGCCTCCCAGGGAGGGTAGCATGTTGTCTTGACACGTTCAAAATTTCACTTTTTCCTTACTTTTCATTATTCTCTAATATTTGTTTTGTTTTGTTTAGTTTTGTTTTGTTTTTGTTTTAGTTTCTTTTTTTACTTTTTTTTTTGTCATAGTTCCCTTTAATATTAGGGGTTTCCCTTCTTCCCTCAAATTTATCCCAAAAAATCTCTTGCTTCCTTGAAATAAATGATCATGTTTCCCTACTTCCTCAAACCCATTAGAGGCCCTCAGGTACGATGGAACAGTTTACAGTAAGATACTGACAGCAACAGTGGAGCGATAACCCATCAGATCTTACGACCTTCCCAGATTAAATCATAATATCGCCCCCCATGGTCATATTCTATTGCCAACATCAATCTTGTAGTAGTTTCTTATGTTTTGATAACAAGACCACTTCAAGTCAATATTGATTTTAATTAAAAGCCATTTATACGAGAAAACATTATTGAAGGTAATCAGCATTACTTGATTTGAGACTTAAGAGAGTGCCTCTGAAAGAGCGGTCCGGTCGATTTTGCTTGAGACACAGATTCAGCTCATTTCTTGTGTGCTGTAAGACATTCATGTATCTATACTAAAACCACAATCCGTTTGATCTGATCTCTTTATTTTTCAGTGTTT